GCATCAGCTGCACAGAGAAGCCACACGAGTAATCAGCACAGGCAGGTCGAGCTACACAACATGTGGCTAACAGAGTTCAAATCCCACCAGCTCTCCAAAGTTGTAAACTCCCTCTCCTAAGAGTCCAGCCAGGCCGAGCGTGAACGCCCTCTCCTGCCTCTCCGTCTCTGTGAACAACAATTACAAAATGAACTGAATACGAGTGATCTGCTGTGTTCTGACTGACACGCAGCTTAATTCATGCTGTTGTTTACCTGGAAAGCATCTGATGTCCACACAGCCCAGGTAGCGCAAGGCGTCCTTATAGTAGGCAGCGTGGTCTCCAACAAGGCGATAGTATTTACTGGAGAGGTCATAAAAGCGGCCGTGGACTGATGTCACTCCAGGCAAGTTATTCAACGTTTCCTCAATTTCTTCAATTTCTTTCTACAAGTGGAAAAAACAGGGAAGGCGATAAGTGGATGGATCACTGCTTTTAAACCCAACCTGAAGCTGTTACACCTCGGGGGGTTTCTCCTCTCCACACACACTTTATTTACAGACGTGGATCAGGTTAACACCCCGTTTTACCACAGACTGTATAAAAAAGATGGAAGGTGATGTGAAAGTGCCCCACACCTGTGTTCTTCTTAATGGCCACGGAGGCAGCAACTCCTATGGCTGCAAAGTGAAGCTGGATTTTATACACATCCTACTTCTTTTTAACATTTTCATTTGTGTCCTGTTGTTTCTCTCACAGCCAGTCAGAAAACAGCTGCACTTTTTGTCCATCAGTGACACCACCACCCAACATGTGTTCTGACTTCAGTGAATATCACAAAAAAGAAGGTTGTTGCAGCCCATATAGCTCTAACTTGAGCATTTACGCTAACTCAATTGGAATATATAACCTTATCTCAACTGACTGTCTTTGAAATACAGATTTCACTGATTCCCTCTTCTCCATGCGCTTGGGTGTAAGGCTGTGCATTCATCCTAATTTTGGAGTTTGTGAACGGTGACGTCTGTGAGGAAGGAGGTGGAGATGTCACATTTTTGTACAATGAGCGCAAAGATTGGAGGAAGGGAAAATGTCAGGTGTGCATGAGTGTGGCAGCAAGAAAACGATGACTGAACACCTACGAGTTATTTCAAGGATATCTACACCCAAGTGCCATTTGGACTGCACTTGTGGGTTTAACAGCTGCTGGTTTTTCTCATGCTAACAGGCAGAAACATCACGTGAACGTTCCAGGCAGTTGGAAACGCTCTGTCACATGCTATATCTGAGCTCAAGTCTGCCAACACCTCGCTCAGAGTTTTACCTTTGTGGCAGGAACGTCGTTGATCTCAAGTCTAAGATTGCCGATGGCGGTCTTGCAGAGAATCACTGCTTCCTCGCTGCTTTTCACCTGAACCAGGTGGAGACGCGCAGACGTTTGGTCAAAAGTGCACTTTACAGAATGTAACTTCAAAGCAACCTGTCATGCTGGTGTCTGGTCATCTTACCTTTTCCCTGGTCTTTTCAAGAAAAACGATGGCATCTTTTTGATCTAGACACAAACAGCGTTGGATTTTAATGCCAAAAAATGAATTAAAACAGAAAGAAAATGTTCCCATTTCTCCGTACCTGACATTTGTCTGGCAACGAACAGTAAAATCTCCACCAGCGACAATGGATTGATTCTGATAAAGGAACAAAAATTATAAATTAACAGGTAAAAAACAGTAAATACTTGTATTTGCTCTGTTTAGGACAAGCGGATGAACAACTCACCTGTGTTCAAAGTCACTCATGAAATTTTCATAAAGCTGGAAGGAAAAAAAAGAAACGGAAAAGAGAGAATATTTAGTGGACAGTGTTATTCATTACCTTAGAAATGTAGCTATGACATTAGTGAATATCTGTACCAAGGGCCTCTTTGGTATGATATGTTTTAATATATACTAGTATGCAGTAAGTCTACATGTACGACAAACTGCTGCTGCATAAACTTAAATATTCAAGATAAACTAATTATGACAATGACAAGAGACCATGTAGGCGTCGGAATAATTTAGTGGCATCACTTCTCATTTTCAGCAGAACTGTACAGATACTTTGTTATGAAATGTAGTTTCCATTTGCATGCTGGTCAAATCTATGCATGTATGTGCTTAAAGAAGGCCTGTTCTGCTTCTCCTTATTTTCTACACCCTGTATCAAAGGTGGATGCTCATATTAAGCACTAATAAACATGATAATGTTTCACAGTATGTGTAAGGAACCCCTGTCATTGCAGCAACGCAGTTCTGGCTGTAAGCACAGAAGCCCTACCCACCTGCTGCTCAAACCTTCTGCCTGCTGGGGCCAGCCAATAAGAAAAAGATTGGCTTAAATAGACAGGGGCTTAAATCAAGAGTCCATGCAAATGAACTATGAGTCATGCAAAGCTAGAGTCCAATAATAAAAATAAGAAGCTGTGAATGAGCAAACAGGTAAAGTATGTAAAGATGAGAACCCACTCATGTTCAACGCTGCAACGTTTTCAGGGTGAAGCAGTTCAAACTGACAGAGGTCAGCTTGTATTAGCAGTAATTCCGATGTGTTATAGCTAAAAATGATCTCTAAAAGTAAAACAAGTTTGAAGTGAAAGTACAAACAAGTACTGCAAATAATATATGTTTTGATGTGAACATGGGGCGTTAAAAACAGTATATTCTCTAGTCTGCAGCACAGTTTTGAAAAGGAGGGCAGAGGAACAGACTGGCATTGGGTGGCCAGTGCTGGCCCTGCTACTGAACCACAGCAGTGCGTCTCAGTGGGACTATCCAGTGCTGTGAAGCTGCAGTGCAAACACATAATATATCACCACAGTCTGGTGCAGCTAAAACAACCTGGATTAGTGGAAAAAAAAAACCAAGATCTGGTCCAATGAGGCACCTGTGATGCCATCAGCTGGAACTCATATACTGCTGTTTACCACACAGCCGAAAGGGGTTTTAGCTAACCCCTCCACCTCTCCAATAGTGTAAAAAAAAAAAAATACATAAACACCTGGCAAACTGCCGGGGGGGTGTGTGTCAAGTATAACTCAATTTTTGGTAATACTCTATTGAAATACTGATACATTTCTGACAAATAAGGCAACAGAATTACTTTGTTCTCAATATCTGACAATCATGCTTACTCTTGTATGTTGTGTAAAGCATTACAAAGAGTGGCTGAGATGCAGTTACCTGTATGATACCATCGCCTGTTTTGAAGCAGGGATCTCTGACAAAGACCATCAGCTTCAGAGTCAATTGATGCCACAATCTAAGGGCAGAACAAAGAAAACAGTTCAAATCAGTCACAACTGCCAGTTCCTTTTAATTCATGATATCAGCCAAAAAACTACATCAAAATATGAGAAGAGTGCAATGAAGAGCTGAGAGACTTTATTCACCAAAAATCCCATCTACACACGACACCCCCATAGAGTAGTACTCATTCTATGGACTAGACTAGACCAACAGGGCCAAACAGACTGAGCACTACCTGAATTTACACAGAATCTTTTGGAAACAAGCTTTATTGTTCACATACACAATCATACAGAGTACAACATGCAGTGAAATGTGTCGTGTCTGAGCTGAAGACATAGCTGTGCCTTTCCAGGGCTTGGCGTTTGGCAATGGGGGCCTAGCCAAGACCCTTACTCCCTTATTAGGGAATCGAACTTGCGACTTCCGCTCCAAAGGTGTGGGGTCTTGATAGCCAGACAGGAACAGAAAGCAATTATCATTCCTGAGAACAGTCATCCAGTGGGAAGATATGTATATCTGTGCCAAATCAAAGGAAAAGCCAACGAGGGTCACCACGTGTTACTTCGATACTGGTGTTTGAATGGTGATGGTTTAACACTACAGTCTATGCCACAGTGTCAGCGACCAGAGTTCTCATTATTTTAGTCTTGTCCCCCCCTTCTGCAGCACACTTTTTAGTGAGTCCCTTCCTGCTGCTGAAATCACGACGAACAACACAGAATTGAACTGCAGTGGCCCTTCCTTTTAAGGGAGCAGGAGATCCAAACTATGTCAGCAAAGCACCCCCATAACAGATCCACCAGATTCCCTTAAGGTTTCTTTTTAGTCTGTCTCCCACTTTATAATATTACATATCAGAACTTTCAGTTAGCCTGTGAACTTCAATTACAAACCATTATCCGTTTATAAGGGTTAAAAACTGAAAAATTGGCCACTGCATAGCTAAAAGGGCCGTCTTTAATTATTTGCTTTGTTTGAACACTGTCAAAATACCAAATGCATATAGAGTCAACTGACACATAATAAGGAAAAACAAATCCTGATATCATGGAGGCGAGAAATTAGATGTTTGTTTCGCGATTATTGCTTGTCAAACTGATTAAAAGACTGTTTGAAAAGTTACAGGTTGTTTTCTTGTTTTACGGTTAATTGACACTGTTAGCAAGGATGCACAGTAACAGCTACAAAAACCTGTGACAGCACAACAAATAGACTCCCGCTGCCCTAAATATTAGTGCTGGGCTCAAACCTAAAACTCAATTAGAGTTTAGAAAACAATATCATTTTGTTCCGAATTTAAAGCTTAAGCTTACTGCCAACGTGAGCTAAAGCTATGCTACAACAGCTAACCTCAGCTCCGTGCATGACTCAGCTTGCATTTCCAATGAATGGGCTAGCTAATGTAAGCTAGGCTAGCGCTAGCGGCTAGCTGCCACTTCTTACGACTTTTGTACCTTTTGTTGTACAAATCCTCCAGCGCGTGCCATTCCGACGCCAGCTCCGGCGTGGGGCTGTTACTCTGCTGCTGCTTGAGGTACCCAGTAACATCTTTCATGATAGCGACAAAATGTAGTTTATTCTATACTAATACGTGTTGTTGAATTTTTTTTAGCTAATGTCAAGCAGCCTGTCGTGTTGTGGTAATGGGACTGCGCTGTTGCTGCCAGGCGCAAAGAATTATGGGAAATGAAGGAGGCGTTTTGGTTTTTTTTTATTGCTAGCTAAGATTTTCTGTAACTTAAGTTGTTTGGGTGCAGTCAGTCGCCTTATGTTTATTGCTATGGGATATATTTTTAATAAGCAAACGACGGATAAATTATAAATTGCAAGTTTGTGCAAGTGAAGCTAAGTTGTATCGTCGTATATTACAGAACTGTCAAAAAGGAGGTCAAAGGACACAGTTCTGTAGGTCTGTAGGCAGTCATTCTATATAGCTATTTTCAAAGGAGCTAAAATCGGCTTCTGTAAAACGGTGACAGCAAGAGCCATGCAGTGAAAGTGTGCGTGAAGTTTATTTTGAATCCTACAGCTTTGTTATGGCTTCTTCTGTTAGCTGCTCTTTGTTATTGTTACCTGCCAGACTCTGTCGAAGTCTGCGGTCAAGAGCAAGCTGGACGCTCTCCGCTAAAGGTTAGTGCACAGAGAGAGCTCAAATGATGCAACACAAAATGCATGTATGACCTATTATATTTGACACAAGTATTTGATTTCTAGGCTTCGATCAAAGGAGCTCGTTTCCAAGTGAAGGTGCAACAGTTCTGTCCAGGTACCTGCATGGATACAAGAAACATGACAGCGGAGTCCAGGTGATGCAATATAGGCATCACCTGGCTGTCAACGCTGCATGTAGCGATATTTTAGTCAGTCTAATGAGCATTACAACTATAGGGATGCCGTGTGATGTCCTATTATGAGTTACTCTGATTCTCGTTCCTAATGTTGGATCAGTGGGAACATCAGTGCATCTTCTCCAGTCCCAGTGTTGAAGTGTCTCTGGGAATGATTCTGAACTCCGAGTTGCCCCTGGTGTATCCATCGGAGGGTGTGTCAATGACAAATTAAAAGTGCTTTGTGATGACAGCGCCTCCTCTATGGAGAAACAACTTGCATACATTGCTCAGGTGTGATTTTCTTCCATACACTCTTCAAATGTCTGAAGGTTCCATCTGCCCTTTAGTTCTTTCCATAGATGTTCATTTGGTCAGGTGATTGGCTGGGCTTTTCGAAACACTTTATTTTCTTTCTCTGAAACTCCCAAACACATACTAAACAACGTAGTGTATGCTGTGCAGTGCAGCGAGGCATGCTCAGACCTCTACACTGGAGAGAGCAAACAGACACTTCATAAACGTTCACATTTTGGACAGAGAAGACAGGTAGTTTGAAAGAGGAGTGACAGAAGCCACCCTTGAACAGAGGGCGGGGCTTATGACAACTGCCACCTATAATCCAGTTTTCAGAGCCCTTCCCAGGCGCCTTAACAGTGTCACATCTTGTGTCAGTTCATCAGTAGGTCACATGATGGGGCAAGGTTTCCCCTGAAACGTCAGCTGATAATGCCCCACGCCCTTTCTTCGCACCTTGGCTCATGTGATGAGGCCCTTGATCAACACTGGGTCAACAACCGTCTTAAGGGATAACTCCAACTAGGGCTTAAATACTAGGGACTCTCCACGATTTGCTCTTAGAACTGAAGAAGCTTCCCTGATGAGAGGTGAAACACCTTCAGGAAACTTAAAGAACTCCAGCTCCAAGCTGGCCCCAACAGTGCTCACTGGAACCTTCAGTAGTTTGGAAACTCTTCTGTACGCAGTGCCATCAGTATGCTTTGCAACAACAAAGCTGCAACAGTCTTGAGAGAGCTCCTTGGTTTTATCCCTCATCAGATGTTTATTGTGTGATACTTTGGTAATATGACACCAACTGGGACTGAAGCAGCTGGTATTATTTGCACTTTCTAGCTGACAGAGTTCAGCTGCTGTCATGATTTCATGTGTTTAGTACTTTTTCCATGTCTCATTATTTTTTCACATAACTTGATTTATGGACATCTATGCTTTGATTTCTTTGCATGTGTGGATGAGTTGTTACCAACATCCGACTTTCATGTCAATAGCACTGTGACAGGAGTGACGGACCTGACCACACGTTTCACTTTCCAGCACACTTCTGTATTAGATTGCTGCTTTCCAATCCCTGGCTGCAGCTTTTCAGCTGCCAGCCACACATACACAAGAACAGCCTCATGACCCAGTTCATACTTTCTAAGCAGGCGTGTCGGTCTCCCTGCAGCTGCGCCACAAACAAACAAGCACCTTTAGAAATATGTTTACTTAGAAAATTGGTGACATGTTCAATACTTACTAAACCCGCTGTATGTGAAGCACAAAGTGTTTTGAGTGCTCAAATTGAGTAGAAGGGTGCTATGTAAATGGCCTGTATTTGTATAGCGCTTTACTAGTCCCTATGGACCCCAAAGCGCTTTACACATCCAGTCATCCACCCATTCACACACTGGTGATGGCAGCTACATTGTAGCCACAGCCACCCTGGGGCGCACTGACAGAGGCGAGGCTGCTGGACACTGGCGCCACCGGCCCCTCTGACCACCACCAGTAGGTAACGGGTGAAGTGTCTTGCCCAATGACACAATGACCGAGACTGTCGGAGCCGGGGCTCAAACCGGCAACCTTTCAATTACAAGATGAACTGCCAACTCTTGAGCCACGATCGGGGCTCAAGACCAGCCGTTTACTTTTCCCAGACATGCACGATCTCTCTGCTGGACTCAGACCCGAGGGTTTTTCTCCCACGGTGGAAGTTCGTCCGCTAAGCAGCAGACCCTGGAGGATATCGCGAAGAGCATCCGGGAGCAGCAGTTCAAGAGGGTCGTGGTGATGGCTGGAGCGGGGATCAGCACTCCCAGTGGCATCCCAGATTTCAGGTAATATGGCTAGCTGTGGTTTCCTGCCCTGGCATCTACCCATATCAGTAAAGACAAGGTGCATTCTGGTCTCGATCAACAGTTTCATTTGGATTCACTTGCAGGTCTCCAGGCAGTGGTCTCTATGACAACCTGCAGCAGTATGACCTGCCTTACGCCGAGGCCATATTTGAGATTAGCTTTTTCCACCATAACCCAAATCCCTTCTTCGCCCTGGCCAAAGAGCTGTATCCAGGAAACTACCGCCCCAACCTGACACACTACTTTGTATATCTGCTTCACAAGAAGGGTCAGCTGCTCCGGATGTACACACAGAACATTGATGGCCTGGAAAGACGTACGAAGTTTAGTTGTTTGACGTAACCGTGCATCACAGAGACTGTGACAGTGAACTTGATGTGCTTGTTTTCTGTGTTTATGCCTATTTCTAGTAGCAGGGATTCCTCCTGAGATGCTGGTGGAGGCCCACGGCACGTTTGCCACTGCCACCTGCACCGCTTGCTTGAGGAAATATGAGGGCGAGGACCTCAGAGTGAGTCAGAACGCACTATTGCATAAAAATGATTCAGAATTTTTTTTTCGTTAGGTTTTTTTTTTGACAAGTTGGATATTTGGGATGTGATGAACAGTGCTACTCATACTGGTGACACACAGCTTCTGGCTGTAAATTTCATTTTGCTTTCATAGCTATATTAGTCGTTCCAACTTTGAAACTAGTACACTGACACTAGATAATGGAATTCTAAAATGCCAGAAAACCTCCAAAAACAACCCAACATTCATCCCTCAAAGTGTTCTTAGGAAAACTCAGGACAGTAGAGTCGTGAGATTTTTAGAGGTGAATGGAATTTTTTCCCAGTAATCAGTGATGCCTTCAGAGATGTGAAAGTTACATGTGCCATGTGAATTAATATAAATCAGGGTGAAAGTTTCCTCCGTGCTAAGGGCTCTACGTGCCTCACTGTATCAGGGATCGCAGACAAGCTTGAGTTTTATTCTGTTTTGTTTTTTATCAGGTGTTGGTGTTGTGAAAAATGTCCTTGTTGTTTGTTTTGATTTGATTGATTTTTTGCTAAACAAGCAAGGAAGAAATCAGCGCTTCTTAAGTTGGCAGGATAATAAACCAATGACCAGACTGAGATGTTGAGCAGCTGTTCAGCACATGATTAGGATACGTGTAGTGTTTGTTCCGTTCTGATGTTCAGAGTCTGCGTTGCTGTAAGACCCAAACTTCACGTCAACTGTGTGGATTTATGCTTTCTTCTGTTCCTCTGTAACAAGGATTTTGTTTGTTTGGGCTGCAAGTTTCAGATGAGTCGAATGCATTTGTGTTTTTCCTGTCAAGTAAAAAAAACAGGCATCTGCTGTCTACAAGAAATATGTTTTTCCCTCAAACTTGTACAGGTGAACTTTTGAATTCTCATAATTCATTCAAAGAATTTGCAAATAAGCAATTATTTCTTTCTTTTTTTAATGGATTTTTCAGGTTGTATTTTCATTGAAATCTGGTGTATTTATGTCATACTCTGATTAGTTTAAAACATTTAGTTGGAAAAAAAAATCACTTGTAGACAGTAATTTGACATTTTGTGTTTTGTTAGCCCGACGTGATGAGTGGGACGGTCCCCAAGTGTCCCACCTGTAAGGGCGTGGTAAAGCCTGACATCGTGTTTTTTGGTGAGGAGCTTCCACGACACTTCTTCAAGTATATCACAGACTTCCCACTGGCAGACCTGCTGATCATCATGGGCACATCACTGGAGGTGAGCTTCAAACTCAGGCAGCAAACACACTACCTTCACACAGTGAGGCCTGTAAGTGTTTGGATTTTAAATCAAACAATCGAAACGTGATTGTTCAGACTTTCATTCAAGGGTTTAAATAAAAGCGCTGTGTTATGAACAGAAGACCTGTTTAGGAGTCACAGCCATTTTCAGAGGCTCAAAAGTAACTGGACAAATTAAAATCAGTTTAAATATAAGAATTGTTACAACACTTGGGTGAAAGTCATTAACTAACTTGGATATAACAGCAAAATAACAAAAAATGCTTCTTTGTTCAAATACTTGATGCTATTTAAAAAAGAAGATGTGAGGAAGTAAAGCTTGGCGGGTGAAAAGCAACGTGGCTCATCTTCTCTTTGAAATGTTTGTTTGGTAACTTTGTGGTATGATAAAGTAACCACAGTATAACCACTGCATGTCCATGGCACCATCTGTTACAGCTGCAACATGTACATGCAGTGTCACTGCATCATCTACATCAGGGGTGTCAAACTCAAATACACAGTGGGCCAAAATTCAAAACTGGAACAAAGTCGCGGGCTAACATTAATATTTATTGAAAAAAAAAATCTTCCTCCAGATATAAGAATGAATCTCTTCTTATGGAGTCAAACAAGTTTTGCTGAAAAACTGAATATGGAACAAGCAAAGCTTAAATACTAGACAATATATAAATATATATATATATATATATATACCAGTAGGCCAGCTCTAATAGTAATGTGGTATGGCTTCGCGGGCCAAATGTAATTAGGCTGCGGGCCAGAGTTTGACACCTATGATCTACATTCTTGTTTGAGGGTTCATAAAGGGCTGCAGTTAACTCTTTGCTCTTTAGGTGGAGCCTTTTGCCAGTCTTGCTAGAGCTGTTCGCAGTTCTGTGCCCCGTCTTCTCATCAACAGGGACTTGGTGGGGCCGTTCACCTGGAGCCGCCGGCCTAATGACGTCGCACAGCTGGGTGATGTGGTGAGCGGTGTGCAAGCTCTGGTTGATGCTCTTGGCTGGACTCGGGAACTTGACGCTCTGATGGCGGCCAGCACTGAGAAAGTGAGTGCGTCATTAGCTTTTAGTTCAGAAAATCACATCAAAAATCGTCACGTTCCGGCTGCATTGGGCCTTTTGGATAGTTTTCTGGCTTCGTCCCAGTCCAAAGACATGCAGTTAGCCTGGTCAGGTTTATTGGTGATTCTAAATTGCCCACAGATGTAAATGTGAGTGTGAATGGTTGTCTCTGTGTTAAGCATGTGACAGACTCGCAGCTTATTGACGGTATACCCTTCTCGTCACCACGCTGGGCGGGTGGGCGATGTTTGTGAATGCAGTATCTTGAGAACAAAGTGACGTAGGAGTCTCAGATTGATACCATGGTGTCCCTGAAGGTTCTCAGTCATCCAGGAAATAAAAAAGATCAATTATCAAATTTAACAACCTACAGAGGTAGTTTGATCATTTTAAAGACACTCTGAAAGTAAAATATGATGCGGCAGGCTAGTACGTTTTGACAAAATTTCTTTGCAGCAACTCAAAATGGTACTCTGTGGTTTGCCACATGTTTGTATGCAAGCCTGAGAACATTGGTACATGTTCACATTGAGATGGGTCAGGATCTGGATCAGCTCATCGCTGAGCTCCTGGACAGTCTGAGGAGAAACCTGTCAGATTGGGATGGACTGAAACATCATGTCCCAGAGGTTCTACTGGGTTTAGGTCAGGCGAGCGTGGGGGACAGTCAGCATCAGTTCCTCCATCCAGATCTGCCTGCATACTCTCATACCACAAGAGGCTGGAGGAATCCAGGACCAACTGTACCAGCGTAGGGCCTGACTGTGGGTCCAAGGATTTCATCCCAATACCTAATGGCAGTCATGGTGCCGTCGCCTATCCTGTAGAGGTCCGTGCGTCCCTCCAGCCCAGCAGCCATGCTGGATGATGATAACGTTCTCCACAGCTTCTTCAGACCTTTTCATGTCTGTCACATGTGCTCAGGGTTAATCTGCTCTCATTTGTGAAGACCACAGGGTGCCATTGGTGGAGCTGTTTTGATATTCAATGGATGAATCACACGCCATGGTGCTGGGCAGTGAGGACATGGTCCACTAGAAGATGTTGGGCCCTCTGGCCACCCTCATGAAGTCTGTTTTTGATGATTTGGTCAGAGAAATCATCTGGAGGTCCTTTGGTAGCTCTGGCAGTGCTCATCCTGTTCCTCCCTGCACAAAGGAGCAGATACCGGTTCTGCTAATGGGTTAAGGACCTTCTATGTTCCTGTCCAGCTCTCCTGCAGTACCCGCCTGCATCCTAGAATCTCCTCCCTGCTCTTGAGACTGGTGCTGGGAGACGCAGCAAACCTTTTGGCAAAGACATGCATTGATGTGCCATCCTGGAGGACTACCTGTCCAATGTCTGTAGGGTCCAGGTATTGCACTGAGCTACCAGTAGTGACCCTGACCCTAGCCAAAGGCAGGGATGATAAAAACAGTCATAAAAGATAAGGAAGGAAAAAGTGTCAGTGGTGTCCACCTGTAAAACTATTCCTGTTTTGGGGGTTGTCTCATTGTTATCACTCTAGTGCACCTGTTGTTAATTTTATTAACTCATTAACAACGCTCTCTGCTACTGAACTGATCACATCAATATCCCAGAATTTTAACTGAGTGCAGTATTGAGCACAAATCTCACTGAAAACTTCACTAATCAAACTGTACGTACTTTCTCTGCAGAGTGCACCAAAAAAAGAAGAGTGACACAAGTTCACAACATCAAAAAACGAGGTTTGACTTTACATCAAACACACAAACTGTAGGATGAAGTCCAGAAGACTCGAGGTTTACCAGGATTTTAAAAATGGGATCAGTGGTAACTATCAGACTGGTAGATAAAGAAGTTGTATAGTGGAAATGCTGTGTAATTAATGCTCAGTCAAATATGAATAAAATACTGTATAACAAAGTTTTGTGTGCAGTAGAATTTACTCTGCAGTAGCAATATTGAGTACAGCACACAGTATTGTACAGGTACAGTACTCACTGGTACTTTATTTTATTTGTAAATGCACAGTTGACAGACCCAAGCTATCCTGTTAATGTGCCAGCTTTATTTTCACCTCCTGTCTCAGGGAGGTTATTGGCATGAATGGAGCCTTTTTCACTGGAGAGTATGAATCCCGAAGTCTGCTGCTCACCATCTTCAGCTCATGCTTAATGCTAGACTGAGTTAAAGACTGAAACACTGATGTAAGTCAGTAAGAACAGCTCACAAATATGGAGTCATACCAACAAAGAGGCTGTGTAGAATGTGAATTAAAGGGTAAAATAGGGATTATTCTTCACAGACGGATCCACACTGAGTGGACGCGTGTGTGCGTCGATGGTCATGAAGTCATTGTACACAGTCAGAGAGATCGTGAGTTCTGATACACTCATGACATCAATGTTATGTTTGCTTTTTGGTAACACTGCCAAAGAATTAGGGATAAAAACAGTTATTAAACAGCAGAGGGAGTAAGAGGGCAGCCGAGACTGTAACACACTCCTGTTTGAATCCTGCTGAGTGCTGTAAAGAATAATGGGAACTGCAGCTGAGACCACATTCACCTACTCTGTTTAAAATATAATTAAAAATGAAAAAAGAAAAAGTTTCTGATGGATATATGATGAGTTCAGTTTCTCGTATACACTGACTCATCACTTGTACATATAGTTAAAATAAATTTGAATTTAATTTTCATGCAAACATCTGATGTTCCCAGATGTTTGCATGAGGAGTAAACAGGTTACATGTGTCTGTGATCTGATGTGTATTTGTACAAACTTAAACTCCTTGCACAAACAAGCAGGCAGAAGTTGCTCTAAAGAAGTGGTTGTCAAATGTTTGGGATGCCTCATTTCAGAAACTGAAAAAAACAACACTATTTTTAATCAGAATCAGAATACTTTATTGATCCCTGGGGGATCAATAATGAAGACAGTGGCGGGAGGCCAGCGTGTGACCAGTGTGTGTGCAGTAAAATTGCCGTCTTCTTGATGATCGGTTTGGGGACGGGTCCAGCTCTGCGACCACTTGCAGTTAGCTGCGGTCTTCAAAACAGCTTTGGTGCATCAACATGACAGTAAAACAGCAATAAGATGGAGTCTGTCTCCTATCAGTTTGACTATGCAGTCTAGTTGCCAGTTGCTGCCAAGTTGTTTGTCTGTAACTGGCAAACTACTTACATTAAAAACGTAACAGTTGACACAGAAATTACAACACAAGCAGTGACGCAGTTGCAGCAGGATGGAGGTATAACTGCTCAGCAACCTTACTCTTATATTGGAATACCACCAGCCTGCAACCAGAGGAGTCGAGTCCCCTACTGCAAAGAGACACATCACAAACAAGTTGCACTCACCGACTCAGACTGATTGCACCATTTTAATAACCTGTCTGTTTACATATCTGAGTGATTGTAGTCAGTCCAGATTGTTTGAAGACAGATTGTCATCCTGCAATCACATACATTGATTTCTCAACTTCTGGGTAGTAGTTGGTCTCCACAAGTATTTGGTCACCAAATGTGAAAAGATTCAATGCAACCACCAAGTTTTCCTTGCTGCAAGGATGTTGCCGTCTACTTTTACTCTAGAGCAGGGCTGGGCAACTCCAGGGCTCGAGAGCCAGTGTCCTGCAGGTTTTACATGTGTCCCTGATCCAACACAGCTGATTCAAATGGCTAAATGACCTCCTCAACATGTCCTGATGTTCTCCAGGGGCCTTGTAACGAACTACTCATGTGATTCAGGTGTGTTGACCCAGGGTGAGATCTAAAACCTGCAGGACACCGGCCCTCAAGGCCTGCAGTTGGACGCCCCTGCTCTAGTCACCAACAAAACAGATTTGAATAAAATGTTGTATAAAAACGTGAGCAAACAGCTGTTTAGTTTCCCTAAAAATAAAACCATGCTATTCAACTTCAATTCATGGGATTCTGGGTCCTAATACTGGTGCCCACTCCACTGTTTCCAGTTGCACCTAAGAAGTAGACGGTGTGCAAGAAAATTAGGCTCTTTTTCTTTTTTTAAAAACAGTCCATTTCAGGCCGTTTAGCTGCTGCTGGCGTTTGTATTGTGTGTCAAACTGAGTATCCACATGAAATGCTTCAGGGTTCTACTGTCAAAATTAAAATTGCACCTTGGCAGCTTTGGTCATCTCGAGGACGACGTCTGTCAGCATCCAGTTCCCCGTACTAAAACCCGTCTGTGTTGGTAGTAAAATGCACCCAGTGCTGTCCTTCAGAGGCTTCTGAATGTGACACATTAAGTCGAGAGGTTGTCTCTCACTGATATCGCTGTAATAAATGCAGCATTGTTGTGTACATTTGGCATAACTGCAATAAAATCTTACAGAACGGCTCCAGTAACATCATAATTGGTTTTTATGCAGCTGTTATTTACTCTTTCATTGACAGTTTTTAGAGGAGAGAAAACTGAGTTAACTTTGCGGAGCTCTTCATAATGTGCAGTGAGTCGGGCTTTGTATTTGTGCAGAACATTACAAATTTGATCAAATTCAGCTTTAGCTTTTTAAATCCAGCTCTCACACCTCACTCCAATTTTCACCTCCCGTTTCTCCTCAACCTTGGAAGAAATGTGTTTTATGGTGCTGCTGACATCTGTGTAACAAGAAATAGAGCTGATGTCATCTGCTGCAAGGCTGTAATGTTTCCCTCCTTTCATTGTAGTCTGTGTGCTTCTTAAAGCAACTTAAGTACGCAAGTCAAATCCACTGCAAGTGTCATTCTGCCCCACATTCATAGGAACGCCAATGCATTTAATAACCACACTCTTTTTTTCTTTTCTAGTTGTGGTTTCAAAAAATAGAATAGAATAGAGTAGAATAGCCCTTTATTGTCATTGTACATGTACCGTGAAATTATGGGGTTTGTGTTACAGTGGGGTCAAAAGAGTAACTTTTTAAAAGTTTGTTCAGAAATATCACAACAACAATTTTGTAGACTAGTATAATAATCTTTTGCAAACAACTGTAGTCATTAGCTGATGAGTCCAACCAACCTTTAGGGACAACACATCAAAGCTTTCCCTTACTCATTGCAGCAAGGGGGTCATTCTGCAATAGATCAATGGGAAGAACAAGATCTGGGCAATCAACACCTACGCCCTGCCGGTCCTCAGATACCCTGCTGGGATAATCGGCTGGGAAAGGAGGAAACAGGAGCTACTGACAAGACGCTAAAGGTCCTTACCACGCATGTGTGCTGGGTCCCAGTCATTTACAGAGGGGTTCACATCCAACACCCTGAGACTGTAGAAGCAGGAGGCTCAGGACTAGTGAGTGTCAGAAACACTATCAATGATGAAACAAAGATCTGTCAGTACACCGGGACAACCGAGGAACCTGAGAAAAAAGAGGAGCAGGAACAGAACTGGCACCTGAATAGCATGTACCACAGGCATATAGAAGAAATCCTACCAACGGCTGGATGAACTCTGACTGAAACACAGCACATAGGCACTAATCATGGCGGCAGGAACAAGTTCTAAGTGCAAGACTAAGGTCAGTAGAGGGTTAGGGTGTCTACCACATCAGGCAAGACCCCAGATGCACGCTCTGTAAAGACAATTCGGCACACAACACCAGGGTGTAAGAAGCTAACAGGCAGGGCATACTTGGAATGGCACAACTAGTGTACAGGAACATCTGTCCCGAGTATCACTTGGAAGTCCTGAGGTCAGAATGGGATCAGCTAGAAAGCTAAGATCTTGTTTGACTTCCATATACAGATGGATAAACTAGCAAATGGTTAACCAACCAAACATAGTAGTGGTGGACTAGCAGAAGAAGACCGTAGTGATAGATGTAGTTATGCTAAGGAGGAGCATATATGGTCATATTTGGTCATACACACACATACATAGATCAATTTTTTTTTTATAATTACTTTTTGGTGTGAGTTTAACATTCCTGCATAAAATCTGTAAGCACTTTAAAGTAAAGGGGAAGAGAATGGTTAAAGCAATTAAATAAACTAAAAATGAATGACATCAATAACAGCATGTTGTAATTCCAAGGTTTCTAATTAATAGAAACTTTGTGGGAATGAACAGGTTCATGTTGGGGACTGGGGAGTGCAGTGAGGAGTCATAGAAACAGTCCAGCAGGTAAAACAAACAAGCTGATGTTGTTTTAGAAACGGGAAAATTACCAACAGCACCTCCAGCTCAGGGAACATCCATTTATAGTCTTGGGAAATCTGGTCCTAAGTGGTCGTCATGGAAGAGTTGCAGGCAAAAAGCCATAAAAAAGAAACAGCAGTTGGTTCCCTGCAATTAAGTCATTATTAGCTCTAAAATTGTAATTATAATTATATTTCTTTCCTATCAGGTCTGCATTTCTGGTTGTTTAGTACTCTGCTTGATGGTAGGGGAAAAGATTATCAGTAGAGGTATGCTGATGTTTTGGACTGATTGTCAAGGTAGCACAGTACACTCTTTAACCCAGGAGACACAGAAACAGGGTTTTCATGATAACAGGGTTCTTGCTGATCGGAGCTGGCTTGGCCCTGACTTATCGAAGAATTAAGGAAGCGGAACCGGCTGTTCAAACCCCCACAAGGCTGCCCGCTGGGATTGAAATGATGGGGCGAGGCATGAGTTTCTAAAAATGGGCTCATTGAGTGCAGCACGGAGAAGATCTTGGAGAACGCACGGCTGCTGTGAATACTCAGAACAAGACCTCTGAGTGAAAAACTGGATTACATCTGGAGGGGCTAGCTCGAATAACACCTTTGAGCGCAAATTCGATCACATCTTGGGAAGTGCACTGCAGTCGTAAGTTCTCAGGACCTGCTCTTTGAGCAAAAAGAATGACAACATCACGGAACGTAAGTTTGGATAACATCATAGAAAGCTCACAGCTCTCCAACGGGAGATTGAGAGACCAGTGTTGGACTGTTAGAACAGCTCTGAAATTCATATGAGTTGTTTGCACTAAAGTAAAAACTATCATCACTTCATGTGGAGACCCCTTCGGCGCCAGCTGCGGCCTCAAGGCTGGAGCTGAACAAAACGCCCTGATAAC